CTTCAATCTTGCTTTGCAGATTGCTCATTTCAAACTCTTTCCTGTCAGAGGAGCAACAAATAAGCTCTGTCAGTTCTCTTACCAGTCCTCTCTGCCACATATGGTGGAATATCTTTATGCTGCTGTGTTGAGGACATGAGTAGTACACGTTTTACAAGTCAATACTGTTCCATTTTCATTTAATAAAAAGTCAAAGATGCCATTATTTGTTTTTTTATGTGTACTCCAAAGTAATATTTTGGAGATCTTTAAAACATATATTTGGCCTGAATTGACAGATGAATTGACAGACAACAAGCAGATTACAATTTGACTATATCATGCTCACTTTTTAAGTTTTTCATCGAGTTGCTGTTTGTCATTTTCGACGTCCATTGTGGACTCCTGGGCCAGTTTTAGGTCTCCCTCCAGTTTCCTCTTGGCTCTTTCTAAGTCCATGCGGAGTTTCTTTTCTTGTTCCAGAGACCCTTCAAGCTAAATTTATAGTGTATTTTATTTATTTCAGTCCTGAGGCACTGAACCATATGTTACTGGCCACCAAAGATGCACAGGAGAATTTTAAAAGATGCACCAAATAGCATGGGAATTTTAATGATTGTTTTCAAACCCGCAGAGAAAGGCATATGTCACAACTGTTTGTTTTATCTTAAGAGGAAATACTGTGTTTTTCACACTTACATCATCCACTTGCTGCTCGAGCTTGGTTTTAGCTTTGGTCAGCGTGTTGACCTTGTCCTCTTCTGCCTGTAGGTCATCCAGGGTCTGCTGGTGGGCCTCCTGGAGGGCCTTCTTCTCCTTGGTCAGTTTAGCGATGGTTTCGTCCAGGCCTGCCATCTCTTCTGTGAGGTTTTTCACCTTAGATTTGAACAGATTATAGAATGTTAATGACATCCCGTCATCTTGACAAAAAACATGGTAATAGCTTAGGACAGTGTCAGCCTAAGATGGAAAATGGAGACGAGAAGCTAACCCAGGCCTCCATAGCTGAAAAATATGGGAGGTAAGGGTCAAGGTAATTAGTTAGAAATGGTGAAGACGACATATATATGATGGTACTTTTCTTTCATATTCATTGATTTTAAGATTAAACTTTTAGTTAAAGTATTTCCGTAACAAGCTAGCACTTTTAAACACTCTAAAATGGATCATGATTGTACCTTGTTCTCTGTGGCATGTTTCTCCTTTTCAACCTTGGCCAGGGTCAGCTCAAGGTCATCAATGTCTTTCTTGAGCTCTGAACACTCGTCCTCCAGTTTCCTCTTTTTGGCCGTCAGCTCGGCATTGATCTCCTCCTCATCCTCAGCTCTCTCAGTCAGCTCTTTGATCTTGGCCTCCAGCTGGATTTTGGTTTTAATCAGCTGGTCGCATCTTTCCTCTGCGTCGGCCAAGCCATCTGCTTCCTAATGGGGGAAATTAAACACTTCCATTTGTATAAGCTATATCTGCAAAGACACAATAATTTATTAAAAGGTGGATACTTTAGTGACTCAACCAGTTTGGTCAATACATATGCCAACTTTTAAAAGTCCAGTAGACAAAATGTTAGTAATTTTAATCCACTGATTAAGTATAGTAACAGTTTTCCTCCAGATATCCATGTGTGGAAGACCAAATCGGGAAAACTAGCCCTTTGGCCAAATCTGCACTTGTGCTGCTTTGGAAGGGTCAGTTATTAATTCTTGGACTCGGTTTTCTCAGGTTTGAGGGGTTCATTAATTTAACCTTTTCCTCACCCTGGTAAGAACGGCATAACTTCTATTTTATGCACAATGTATTCCCTAAGGAAACAACAGTCTCATCTAAGAAAAGGTTCTATAAAGGAAGGAAAACATCTTTGGATAGCTTTATGACTTTGCTCTCTGATTTCCATACTATGTATGGATGTACATATGAACATATGCAGCATAATTTGTGACTTCATGTCTATTGCTTCTTCAGGTCTGAGTCTTAGTATTTTTGAAAGATGAACAATGACAACACATATTTTAGTGGAAACCATTGATTTATAAACCTTAAACTAAAAATGTTTCATATCTACTTATACAGTGTTTGGAGGATAAGAAGTGGCTGAGCTGTGCAGGGACTAATGCTCACAGATTGAACTTGAAGCTGTAAGTCATTTTTCTCTTGCATCAGAGCTACCATCTTCTCCTCAAGTTCTTTCCTTTTTGCCTCTGACTTCGCCAGCTCTTCCTTGGTCTTCTCAAATTCTTCCTTCATGTTGGCCATCTCCTTCTCGGTCTCGGCGCTCTTGAGGAGGGGCTTGATCTTGAAATACAGCTTCATCCAGGGCCAGTGCTTGACGTTCATGAAGGCACGGACGTTGTACTGGATGCAGAAGATGGACTCTCTGTAGGAAGAACAAATATGGAAATGAAGAAGAATGTGGGCAGTGACTGGCACTCAACAGAAGTAATGACTGCATCGGATTCAACTATGAAAATGTGGAGAACGAGGTCCCTCACCTCCTCTCCATCATCTTCTTGAATTCTACTCTCATCAGGTACCCTCTGCACACAGCCTGGGTGCGTGTGATGAGTTGGGCCAGCTTTTCATCTCGCATCTCCTCTAGAGTTCCCAACAGGCCAGCTTTAAAGAAAACCTGGCCAAAGAACAAGTGAGATATGTCATTTCCACTCAAGAGAAAGTCCCAAGGTGATGAAATTATGATAGAGATTTAGGTAGATTGGTACCTTGGTATGACCGAATTTGTACTGGGTGTGGTCGATGTCAATAGACCCCAGAAGTTTCTCAGAAGCCTTCTTACTATCAATGAACTGACCCTCTGGGATAGCACTTGCATTTAGAACCTTGTATCTATCAGAATTTAAAGAATATGAAAGTTTGTTTTTCTTACCAAAACTCATAGTAACTATCATTGAAAAAATGATAGACTGAGTTTTGAGGAAAAAATTCCATTCAAATAATCAAGCAGTGCTTTAGATAAACCTTGGGAAAATATGTTTAAAAACAGTATAATATAAACCAAGGCTTCATTCTTTCTGATAATTGTATTTCAGTCTTCTTTTAAAAAAAAATGCTTATTTATTTCTTTTGAGAGAGAAAGAGAGAGAGAGCGAGCATGAGCAGGGGAGGGGCAGAGAGAGATGGGGAGAGAGAATCCCAAGCAGGCTCTGCACTGTCAGCATGGACCCTGACACAGGGGTTGATCCCACAAACTATGAGATCACGACCTGAGCCAAAACCAAGAGTCAGATGCATAACCGACTGAGCCACCCAGGCACCCCAGAATTTCGGTTTTCAGGGAAAAGTTAAAAGATGTTTGAATTGCATGGCAATAATGATCTGGACTAGCACATTGAAAGGGAGAAAAAAATGAGACACAAACCTCTGTTTGAAGTCTGCATAAAGGATTCTGCTGGGGAATCCCTTCCTGCAGATGCGGATGCCTTCCAGCACTCCGTTACACCTCAACTGGTGCAGGACAAGTTCATGCTCCATGGCCCCTTACAAACAAACAAACAAATAAACAAGCAAACAAACGTGTTGTCTGTATGTCTATAGAATAGTGAAGTCACAGTGGAGTCTTACTTGGATGTCAGAAGAGTCTTACCGGGAGTTTTGGTTTCATTGGGGATGATGCAGCGTACAAAGTGGGGGTGAGTGCTCCTCAGGTTGGTCATCAGCTTGTTCAAATTCTCCTGAGAACCATAGGGAAAGTTTTAAAATTGTTTTTTGTTGCATTTACATGAGACTCCCTATCAAGGATCTGTAGTTAATGGGCTCCATTTCATGAATAAAGTCAATGTAACTGACTACAGTAGTTGCTTCCAGAGAGGGTTTGATTTCATGTGAAATTTGTTCAATGCTAGATCTTTTAGATTTGGAGCTTTGAGGGGAGGGGTTTCATATATTGTAAGGTTTGAACTCACACTGCAGGTTTTATTTTTGTTCAATTTTTCCTAACACATTTTTCATTTTCCTTTGTACAACATTACCTTTTTTCTGTTTCACTATAGATTTCTTTTAAAAAAGTTTTTTTAAGTTACAATAATTTAATTGTCACAGAAGTAGGTTTTTTTTGGCATTCAAGAATATACTGTACCCTAAAAAGCGCTGACACTGTCTGGAAAGAAGAACCCTTCTTTTTGCCACCTTTTTTTCCACCGCCACTTTCTGAAAAATAATATAAAAGAATTAAAACTATTTAATTTGTACTATCCATAGGTATAAGGACTCCCAAGATTCCCTCTGGAATTTAAATGTGCACTCATTCACTTGTATCATCCCTCATCTTCCCTCTGTATCTTTCCTCCTTCAGCTCTGGATTAGGGAAATAGATGCATTGGCTCACATTATAGGTATTCAGGAAAACAACAACAGCAACAATAAAAGAACTGTGGATGAAAAGGGTAGATGTGGGGAAGAGGTAGGACCCCTCTCCTCCAAATCAGCAGAGGGGGAGTGCCAGAAGACAGAGGAGTAATGCCGCCTTAGTGCACACATCCCCCAGAGAAGAGGCAAAGTTGCATGCATGGTGCCAGGGAGGTGAGCCTCTGCTAACCTGCAGGCAAGTCCTGCTTCCTGTTTGCTTGTGTTTCTCTACCTCTGCTTGCACATCTGGTCTTAGGGGACTTAGGAGAACACAACTTGCATTCCTTAAGCACTAGTGCCTTGACAAAGGATTTCTTCATCTCCAGCTTAGCTGGATCCTTTAAGGAACCGATACTATCAAAATAATTGAAATAAGCTGTATGATCTTGAGCACGTCACTTAACCTTTGAGTCTCTGTTTCCTCATGGGTGAAATGAGGCCATGGACAAAATGATCCATAGTGTCAGTTTTAGCTCTGAAAGCCTATGATCGTAAGACTCACTAAATATACTTCCTATCATTAAGTCCATATTGGCCAGTATTTTCATGATAGGTTTTGAGATAACTATATCAGTCTCTGATAAAAAGTATATTTCTGTTTTGTGACTCTAGGAACATATTAGTGATATTAACAACCTGCTTCAGCACTTTGTCCCCCGGCAAAGAGGAGAGCCAGAGTCTTCATTGCAGACTTCTGGTACAGCCCAACCACAGTCTCGTTCAGCGGGTCCTTGTTCTTGTCCAGCCAGCCGGCAATGTTGTAGTCCACGGTGCCGGCGTAGTGCACCAGCGAGAAGTGGGCCTCGGCCTTGCCTTTGGCAGGCTTGGGCTTCTGGAAGTTGTTGGACTTGCCAAGATGCTGCTCATACAGCTTGTTCTTGAAGGAGGTGTCCGTGGCCTTGGGGAACATGCACTCCTCCTCCAGGATGGAGAAGATGCCCATAGGCTGAGAGTAGGAAAAAAGGGATGATAATATGAGTCCCTCAGAAAAGTGTGCTCTAATAGTTTATGTACTTGGTGGAAACCTGAACATGTTCCAGAATAAGAGTTCGGGTGATAAGAAATTCAATAGGCATGGTTCTACTTTGCTGCCTCTCCTCTGCTACTGAAATGTGAAACAGTCCTATATCAAGGACATATGGGAAATATATTTGCTAGAAAGACTCAATGAAAAAAAAAAGCCCATCTGTGCCATTTGGCAAACTTTATGTTCAGAGTATAAAATTAAATTCCAAAACTACCATTTCAAAGCTGAATTCTTTATCCCATATATGTATCTATCTAAATACTTTCTTCCCTACTGACAGTGTAATTTTCTTCACCTCAACTCTAGACATGACAAAAGTATGAAGAGAAGAGAAATTACAGCTAATGATTAAAAATGGTCCGTTCCCAGGAGAAAAGTGCATCTCATGTTGTATCATTAGAACTCTCTGTACTCTGTGCTATGTTCCCCACTCTGTGGAGTTGAGTGATGATAATTAGGTTTTGCTTTGTAAGCAGATCGACTCCTTTCAGTGGCAAGTTTGATATGAACGACTGATAGAAAAGTCAATGTTGTTGATGTTCAGTCACAAATTGTCTCCCCAAACCTATTTTGATGTTCCATGAACTGAGTACCACACAGTTTTTGTGAATAGCAGAGATACTGTATCACCAAATTAAAGTTATTTTCCTCCAATTGGGTAGACCCAGGCTGATATTACCCCCTCCTCTTTCATATTTTGATGAATTTTGACATGAGTGTGTGAAGTTGTCATAGATGGCGGTTGTACTTACTTTTCCCCTTTCGTCTGCTCAGGCTAGTGTTCACATGTAACCATGTACTGTGTGGGCCTCCCTAGGCGTGTGGTGAGTGCCCAGTGCACATTCGAAAGTGCTTAATGATTGCTTGTTGGGTTTTAGTATACACACAACCGATAGAATCATTGCCCCAACTCTTTGATAAAGGGGAATTTAGGGCTCCCCTTCCAGGTAAGGCTGTTTATTCAGCAGTCCACATGGTCTTACTGACTGCAACAACTGAAAAGCTGCCCTCCCAGCCTATAAGACACCTTGACATATCCTGCCTTGATACCCGTGAAGGATGATTCATGCATGGCACACCATCATGGGACAGCCAGGATCAATGATCGTACTCACAGGACTAGCTGTGATTTCATTCCTGTCACCCAAGAGATCACATAGGAACAAAAGTGAGGGAGAAGGAAGTGAAAAGAGGGAGAAATGTGAATCCTTGTGTCTGTGGATGTGTATGTATTGCAATCATTTTTCTATGAAAAACTACTCCTTAATATGTTGCTTGTGATGCACCATGCACCTGGTCACTGTGCCCAGGAATGTCATAAAACACCGCTGCTGGTTCTTTGAGAATTGGGATTGCAGTTCATTCAGCACAAGGAAGTGGACAGTTTGTTTTTCACATACCGAAGGCTTGAAAAGTCATACGAACCTTCTCGATGAGCTCGATGCAGGCAGCCAGGTCCATCCCAAAGTCGATGAACTCCCACTCGATGCCCTCCTTCTTGTACTCCTCCTGCTCCAGCACGAACATGTGGTGGTTGAAGAACTGTTGCAGCTTCTCGTTGGTGAAGTTGATGCACAGCTGCTCCAGGCTGTTGAACTAGGGCGTTGCAAACACCAAAGAGCTCAAGTGAGTTTGGGAAACCCAGGGGGAATTCGGCAGAGCAGACACGAAGCGGAGGGGCCTTAACAGGGCCGCTTATTCCAACAACTCACATCAAAGATCTCAAAGCCGGCGATGTCCAGGACCCCGATGAAGTACTGTCTGGGCTGCTTGGTGTCCAGCTGCTGGTTGATGCGGGTGACCATCCACAGGAACATCTTCTCGTAGACGGCCTTGGCCAGGGCGCCCACTGCGTTGTATACCTTTGTGGACAGAGTAATGATTGTTGGCGTTACTAAAGACGTGTTGAGAAGGCTGGGGATGTGTGTGATTCATTGAGGCCGTTCACTTACCTGCTGCACAGTCTGGCCTTTGGTGACGTACTCGTTGCCGACCTTAACCCTGGGGTAGCAGAGGGCTTTGAGCAGGTCAGCAGAGTTCAGACTCTGGAGATAGGCTGCCTTGTCAGCAACTGCATGAACCAGGTGAGGATGGTAAAAACAAAACAAAACAAAACAAAAACCACAGTGTGCACAGCTTAAGGTGTGAAGGACAATGACAAAGAGAAAAAGTTCTGCTCAAAGAGTAATATGTGCAAATGTGGCAAAACCATTTGTTCATATTGCTTCAAAAGCATTGCCAACTTTCACACTAATTTTAGTCATTTTTTTTTGAGATGATAATTTGGAAGTTGGGGAATTGATGCTCTGTGTGATATTTAAAACATAGCTAAAGTAGACCACAGATAAAAATAATTTGTGAAATTCTAACCTAGAGGAGTAGTGACGGGAAAATTCTGATCAGTTTTTTTTTTTTTTTCCTCCAGTGCATGTGGGCACACAAATTATTGACTGGGATGAAAAATGCTTTAATCAGATCGTAAATACTAGCGTACAGTAAGCAGTGAAAAATGGAATGGGCAGAAATCACGTCTCCACAAATCTCAGTTGTGTAAAACATGCAGTGTGTGTCATTTCTGTGCCCTTCTAGTTTTCCCCACTGTCGGATAAGTCAAGAAAGTGAACCCAGGGCCCTTGCCCTTGAGGAACTGATGGTGTCAGCTGTAATCTCAATTAAATGATATGAGCAAGCAGGGAGTGTAGGTACCTTCGGTGCCATCAGGCTCGGCCTGCTCCTCACGCTGCTTCTGCTTGAACTTCATGTTCCCATAATGCATCACGGCGCCCGTGAGCTTGTAGATGGCAGCCTTTTCGTCAGTGCTGAAACCCAGAATGTCCACAGCACTCTGTGGAAAGAGTTGGAATTGACTCGGCTCGCAATGATCACCATGGCAGATGCCCTCAGTACACAGGGGCCTGCCTCCCCACCTTCTCACCCTGTCTCGCCTTTGCATTTGACTAGCACTTTGCTGTCTAAAGGCACTCCTGTTCTTTAGCACTTAGTTCCACAAAGCAGCACCAAGAGGTATGCATCAGTTTCCCATAGAGTCAGGTGAACAGGGAAGATCTTACGCGACTTGTCCACACTCACCTAGCCAGGACTCAGAGCCTTGGCTTTGGATGCCAAGGCCAACGCACTTCCCGTTTCTCCACATGACCCCAGCCTTGCCCCGTATGTTTCTTATCTTATGCGTTCCCTTTGCCTCACAAGTCTGTTTGCTCCTTTTCCTCCTGTGTTGTCCCAACCAAATATGTAATCCTAGCCTGCCTTCCTGGACAGGGCAGGTGAAGTTGGGAAGAGGGTATGAGGAGGACAGCACGTGCCCTGTGTTTTTCCCCATGTTCTTCTATGATATCAGGTCCCGTGAGATGCCTGGCAGGAAACTTCACCTGGTTGTTCCTCATGCAGGGAAGAGACATTTCTGAACAGAACTGCTTTCATTGAAGTATTGTTGTATCTTTTTTTCTCTATCAGATTTTGATCACCTTCTTAGTTGCCCATGTTAGGCTTTGAGAAAGCAGAGAGAGCTTGGTTATGTAACACTCGTGTCTCCTAAGACTCTCCAGATAATTTACTTCCAGCTCACTGACCCGACCTACTCAAAATGCCTCCATGTTAATATTACAGAAGTCTTGGGGCAAGACTACTAAGTTTTTTTTTTTTTTTTAACCTCTCAACTCCTAACACTTTTGGACATAGGAATAATAATGGGTTAAAGCTTGTGAAAGCTGTTATTTATCAGATAAAGGCACACAAATAGTTCATAGAGTTTTTGAAAGTAATATTTTAAGAGAAAAAGTATTCTTGTAAGCAACTCTCAATCTTGTCTTGGGAATATTGGGGTGTTCCCACTGGTCTTAAAGTTGAGAATAATTGAAGGTTGACTATTCAGAAATTCAAAAGAAAACTTGAAATATCTATAAGTATATGTATAAAGAAAATAAAAGAGCAACGATCCTTAAAAAAAGAAGAGAAGGGAGAGAGAATCTATAGTTCCCAAAACTAAACGTTCATGGAGTCCCAAAACGAATTTTTGAGGTAGAGAATCCATTTCTTCAAATGCTACATGGGGTGGAGTTGGGGGGGAGAAGGGAATACCATTGGCCCACAGAGTTACATTTGAAACAAAGTTCGTATTTACGTCCAGTTACAGAAGAACTGTGGAAGTATCATGTTCTGTTAAAAATCTTTTAGCTCCTTTTCCCAGACTCTTGGCTGTAGGGTGTGACATAGGAGAAATGTCACTATTGGAGTACAAAAATGGACCCCAATGACCAATGAGAAAAAAAGGAAAAAGGAGCCAACCAGCTGAGAAATGCCTAACGCTCGATGTTTATTCCAGACTTTTAAAGTTTTCTGATACATGGTAGAGGTCATTGACACATCCTATAACTTTGTTCCAAGGGTAAGGAAGCCTGAAAGGTAATATTGCCCCTAATGTCTTTCTGCTAATGCTGTTCACTCTATAGAGGAGAGTGTCATATACTGCAAGATGAATTTGCTTTTTCCTGTTTTGTACTTATTACTTACATCTGTAGCCATCAACTCTTCCTGATCATCAATGCTGGGCACTGTGATTTCACCTTGACTGACAAAGGCAAAGTCGTATGGGTTCGTGGTGATCAGGAGCATTTCTGTGCACGTGGAAAAGAACAAGTATAGCCAGAATTACTTTGGTCATGAGAAACTTTTTAGAGGGACTATTAGGAAGAAGGGCTTTTATTCTTCCTCGGTGGAAATAAATCACAGATACTTCTTACCAATAAGTTCTGGTTTCTTGTTGGACATGATTTGATAAAATATGTGGTAGCTTCTTTCAGCCTTTAGCTGGAAAGTAACTCGGGACTTCTCTAGCAGATCTAGAAAGGCAGATCGAGCACGTTTAAAAGAAAAGGCACAATGGAAAATTAAGCATTTGAAAAGTTCACCTAACACAAATAAGATTTTCAATATATTCCCTGGAAGATAAAGATTTTTAATCCCTAATATTTATTAACTTACATGTTTCAATATCTGCAGAAGCCAGTTTGCCTGTTGCACCAAAATGGATCCTGATGAATTTTCCCTTAAAAAGGCAAAGGAAGACTTTTTGTACACATTCAAAGGCAGACAAATGTTTTCTTTAGCTACGGACCGAACAGATGGTAAAGATGTCGACACCACACGTGCAGAAGTGTCAGTGCTGACGTTCACGTGAAAAGGAAGAGCAAGAGACTCACAAAGCGAGAGGAGTTGTCGTTCCTCACGGTCTTGGCGTTGCCAAAGGCCTCCAGTAGGGGGTTGGCGCTGATGATTTGATCTTCAAGCGTTCCCTGAAGAGAAATGAGGAAGATGGACAAAAAGACCCCGGACAAGATGAGTTGCAGTCTGCTGAGGTAGCCTCCCATTGACTTCCTCTCCTGTCCCCTTCTCCCTTCGCAGACCTATGTAACTTTGGGGAGGCTTTCTGCAGCAAGTAGAAGGAAGACAAAGTGGGGGAGGGAGGTACTCTAGTGACATGGCCTTGATTTCTGTATTCCACAATGCCTGGTTTTTCCTCCTCATAAATGGTTGTGAGAACTACTACCTGGCGCACCCAGCAACAATCAATCATCTCATTCTTACAGCCCACCCAAGAGTTATTTTCCGCATTTGAGCGTCACCTACATTGGTGGCCGTGGCTCTAAAGGACTTGGTCAGATTTTTCAGAGCCTCTGATGTCTTGCATCCTGGGAAGAGTATCATACCCACCTGCATTTTGCCAGGAGTAGGTTCTTCTTTTTTCTTCTCTCCAGTGATTGCGATGGTTGCAAAGTACTGGATGACACGCTTGGTGTTCACGGTCTTGCCCGCCCCGGATTCGCCGCTGCCAAGTCCACACGGAGGGACAAGTCAGAGTCTAACCACTACCACGACCAAAATCCAACAGAAAGAAAGGCACTGAAATCTACATACGTAATCAGGATCGACTGGTTCTCACGATCTGTGAAAGAGAAACCGGAGATAATGCTGAAAAATACACTTAGCACATAGATTAACACAGTGCTTGCAAACTCAAAATTGCCTTTTAAAACCCCCCACTCACACACACAAAAATAACTATATGGATTGGTGCTTTGCTTTTTTCACAAGATTCTTTTTAAAATAAGTAGCAAAAAGATGTGTTAATTAGACAGTGTGTTGCACTCCTGTGACCTTTAGTGTGACATGGAACGTGTGATGCACTATTTCAACAAAATGTCTGTGAGAGTCATGTATCAATATCCAATGAGTACTGGCTCCATTATCCATTTAGCCACTTGGTCCATAGTGCAAAATCTCATCATGCTATTAATGTCCCATCCAAAGTTTTGTGTCGTGATTGTGGCGACCTGTCACTATGAGCTTTCAAAGCTCACTCTCTAGGAGAGAGGACACATTAGCTGTGATTAAAATGCATAGATGGTACCTACATTTGGTTAATTTTGAGCTGAAATTAGCATTAATTAGTATGGATTTTACCATGGAAATATAAGCAAAATTCTCCATGTTTTTGGAACTGGTCCATTTTATTCTAAGTATATTTCCCAATTTTATTATTATAGTATACTACTTGCCATATTAGCATACTATCATTATTATTATGTTTGTGCTGAACATTTTATTCTCAAAGTACTGCCTCTGTGTCTTTTGTGTTATCAGTATATACTTACTTTATAAATGACTCCGTAAATTGTAATTATGGACTCACCCGTCAGCATGAACTGATAGGCGTTGTCGGAGATGGAGAAGATGTGGGGCGGGGCCTCCTGGCGCTTCTTGCCTCGGTAGGCAGTCACCACCTCGGGGTTGTACACCGGCAGCCACTTGTAGGGGTTGACGGTGACACAGAAGAGGCCCGAGTAGGTCTGGGAAATGACAAGCTTGCTCAGTCAGCAATCACCTTGGAAATACTGCTCGATGTGCAAAGGGAGAGGGACCAGAGCACCAGGATGGTTCTCCTAAGGCTGCCTCCCACCCACACACACCCTACACAAGATGCTTCAGTTTGCCAATGAATTCAGCATTAAGTAGATGGCTTTTCCCATGCACATTTTCAAATACATTAGAATTCACAACAGTAACCAGATGATTAGTCTTAAGATAATATAATAACCAAATAAAAAAAAAAGTCTTTAATAGGGTTTAGCTAACATAGTTCATGAAGTTAGTGGAAAGTGAAAAGAAAAAGAAGGGGGTGCTCACGTAGATCATCCAGGCTGCGTAACGCTCTTTGAGGTTGTACAGCACGGCGGGCTCGTGCAGGTGGGTCATCATGGCCATGTCCTCGATCTTGTCGTATTTGGGAGGGTTCATGGAGAAGATTTGATCTTCCTTAACTGTGACAGTCTGTTAAGAGAAGGAGCTAGTGCTTATCAGCTGAGGAACAGAAAAGCATCAGTTACGTTTGCCCACCTCCCTTTGTGTTACTTACAGCCCCAGAATCAGTCTTCACCGTCACCTTCCCCCCTTCTCTGCTCTGGACTGTGCTTTTCACGTAGGATTCCTTAGCATCCACCACAAAGACAGAATTCTTGGCATCGAAGGGCCTATTCTGGGCTTCAATGCGCTCCTTTTCAGACTTTCGGAGGTACGGAGCTGCCTCCCCAAAAACGGCCATCTCAGCGTCGGAACTCATGGCTGGGGGTTATTGGCAGCAACACAGCACAGGTGTACCTAGAGGGCAGAGAGAGCCTGACGGTGAGGCTGGGGGAGTGTGGACGTTGTCCTCTTGGTTTCACGTTCCGGTGCCTCATTGGCCTCGCCCGTTTCCTCACTGCCACCTGTCGGGATCACTCTCGTGTCCTGTACAAAGGTGCTGAGGGATCGGATCACAGGTTGGAAAGCCTTATATTGGCAGCTTCATGTTTGTGACATTTGAGGCCTCCATTGCATCCTCTGTGTTGTAAGGCTTTGCAGAGAAATGTGGAAGAATTCATATTTCAGTCAGCAATGTTTGTGATGCCCCAAGTGTGTTCAGAATATTTTCTTTTTCTGCTTGCTTAGCTTTGTTTCCTTTTTCCATTCCCCCTTCCCACTTTTTTTTTTGACATTGCAATGATACAAAACCATGGAAAATAACTGTTTTCAATGGCTTTACAATCTGAACCTAATGTAAAAACTCACATATTTTGTCCAATTTTTCTCCTGGCCCAAATTTTTAAAATCAGATACATACATTGGATGTCATATTTTTAAAATTAGATTGATTAAAAGGTAAATCTGTTCATTCAGGACACGGTCCAAAATTAAAATAGTTAATAAGCACAAATAAACTCCCAGTTTAGGAGTGCATTATTTAGATATCAGGTAAATAAAGGGAAAAGTAAATGCAATGAAAGTTGAAAATCCAACAAATGATTTTTCCCTAAGCCAAAATTAAGTCTCCTTGATCACTTCTTAAATTATGTGAAAGCAGTGTTATTAAAACAAAAGATAACTTTAGAAAACCGTTTTAATTAAAAAAAATTTTCATAGCGTTTGTGTATTTTTAGTCTATATTCTCTTTGTTTTTAGCTGGATTTCAGCATACCAGTTATTTTTATCTGATTCTTATTTCAGATCTCTCTTTCTTCTTCCTTTAAAAACAAAACAAAACAAAATATGAAACAAAACCCCAAAACCAGTTCTTTGAATATCTCTTCTGAAGTGGATAGCCAGTATAAAGTTTCAAGCCAAAATGAACTTGAAATTTTTTTCCCACTGACAAATTGATTACAAGAAAATAAATCCTCTTGCCTTGATGGCAAGGACGAGACAAGCGACAAGTGACAGAAGGTGACTTCTGTGGAGAGGAAGAGGGGCTGGTTTCTGGAAAACAGTATCTTGGTTGTCAATGACAGTGAGAACAGCAGCCTTCACCTCAGGTGAGCTTTTCAGAAGGGGTCTTGGTATTTTGTCATCAGCATTAAACATCCTCGCGATTGAGATGTTAGATGTGGAATTTGCCACATATTCTAGCTCTAAAATCAGTCTCGTTCACATCTATGAAAACCTCTTGATGATCCAGTGAAATTTCAGCATATTTCCAGGGGACAAATATTAAATATTTAACAGTTTTTTTCTTCGAAGGAAAAATGTTACCTGTTAATGTTATTTTTTGTTTCTGTGTTTTTATACAAGGCCATTTTGGATTAACAGCACACTACCACATAGAGATTACTGTAATGCAGTGTATTCACCGAACACAGAAAGGAAGTCACCCTTGCCATCTCATGTCTGAGATCAGTGGTTTCCCGACCTGTGGGGTCACAAGCCCCCAAGGATCCTCAGGGTTGTTGCAGGGGACTCTTGAATCCATCTGCACAGCGATAATTGCCTCAAGTTTGAGCAAGCAACATCATCAAACAAACAGTGTTTTCTGTTAGAAAGTCTAAGTGACTATAGCTTCCCATTAAATATAAACTAATTAAAAATGTATTAAATGTGTAGCTGTTTTTCATCATTATGTATCTTTCTAACGTAATGCTAAAAGTACAGGTCCCAACATGTGGAGTTGGTCGGAGGGAGGTCCATTGAATGTTTTGATTCTGTGGAGGAGAACTTGGAAACGACTGGTTTACGTTATAGATGGCAGGAGCTGGGAAGTACCTCAGCAGTCACCTAGAATGTGGCGTCCTCATTTTACTGATAAGTAAAGGAAGACCCAGAAAGGTGAAGGGGTCATGCAGCACCACAGAGGTGTGACAGCGGGGCTGGGGCACGAGCCCTGTTCCCCTACATCCAGGGCCAGTGCTAATTCCACCGCGGTACACTGTATTTAAAGACACGTAAAACCAACTGGCTTCCCTCGGGCAGCCAGAGCCCGTGAAAAGCCTGGATTGGCACCTGGAAATTTTGACTCCGCGACCAACACGTTGTTGATTTTACCAAATGGTCTCTATAATACAGCTTTCCTGGTTAAGTTGGACGAGCAGTCCACATTAGAATATTACACGTGACTGTTGGCATTCTTTCTGAAGTGCTAACAGCACATGAAGGAGACTAGTCATTAAATTTCGTGTGGGTAAGTGGTCTGAAAAGTCAATATTTTACGCGAAGCCATTTTTAAAGAACAGCTGCTCCTTGTATTACCTTATTCCCATCACTAAACCAGGAAATAAAATGGTAGCTCTTTAGGACTTAGCAGTAGAGATCCCTTTGTTGTTTAGAGTGCAGTAATAAATCACTCTTACCTCGTGTGTTACCAGATGAAGACGGTGGCAGGCTCAAAGCAGACAACTACTGTTGAAAGAAAAAAAAAAAACTAAGAGAATGTAGATTCTTCTTTTTTCCACTTAATCACAAAATACAAGTAACTATATTGTGTACCGTGTCATTCTTAGGAATGGTGGAAAGAAAAATTAAAATTTGGAAAGAGTAGCCATCTCCCTTAAGTGAATGGTCCTCACCACCAGGACTGTAGAACCAGCCAGATGCCCTCCACGTATACATACCTTGAGGAATTTTGATGAAGGACGGGGCCAAGGCATGTGGGCTCCACTTTTATAGAGACTGTTCTGCAAGCACAAGCTGCCACCTCAGCTGTCCGAACTGGAACCTACTTGGCAAAACCATTTTTGGCAAATCTCTTTGCACAATATTCACTGACTGTGGCTGTGAATGGATATAATTAGAAATATTTCTTGTCACCTATAAATAATTTGACAGAGGATAACCTAGAGTTCTTTATAGGCATTTGATAGGGGACAGGGATTCAGGGCTTCTAAGGCTGTTTCTCCAGCTTTGCTGTTACATCATTCACCATGGAGTTCAAAGCCAGGCCCCCACTTACTCTCCTGCCTCTAAAGTTGGTCCGACAGAACGAGCTGGACGTGAGGAATTTAGGACTAATTGGTTTTTAGCGCTTAAAGCCATTAAGGAGCTGGGATGAATTTTAGATCTGACACTGTCTTTGGAAGCAGTGAGTGATGGATATTAAGGCAGAAAATTCCTAGCCTGGGTCCCGATTTTAGAAACACTGGCGATAGATGCTTTTAAAGTCTGAAAAGCTAAACGTGATGGAGAAAACGAATTGTCAGGTTAGGCAGTGGCGGTAGACCAGTGCAGGCATCGTAAGGGATTTAGAACAGATATAAACACTTCTGTTCCTTTTCTGAAGAACTTGCCATGGCTACGTCCAGCTCATTTGTTTTCACTGAGGGGACACCAGGATGCCGTGTGATGTTCACGCGTGTTTCCCCTGCATAATGGAAGGAGACACAGACATGCGTCCCTAGTTCACGGGCAAATCCTCATGACTAGCTGTAGCCCTAATGAGGTGGGTACTACATACTTTGATTTAAGGTGGGAGGAAAGACGTGGTATCCACAAAACTCTTGTGGATTGAGAAGATGAGTGGGAGTATGCCATATGCCCATGATACTTGCAAATTGGGTTTTGGTGGTTTTGCCACATACACAGCTGTTGCCGAATATGACGGGAAATCTATCTACTCTAAGTGTGTCCCTGAGATCCGATGTGATATTTTTTACTATCATCTGCTAGCTTAAATTACTGATTAATGTGATCACTATTTTTATGCATCCTATTGAGCTAGAATTTTCTCTTTAACACATTAACAGACTGAATCTTTTATACTTTTTTTTATTTCTTTTGATACAATCCTGTGGAAGGCAGACATTTTTATTTTCTAAAAAATCTCTGTGGAAATGACTCTCAGAAGTTCAGCAATGTACACAAAATGTTGGGGGTCTAAGAAAGAGGAAATGTCTTCTGATTTTTTTCTATGTTAAGATTTTCACAACTCATTTATTTTTACTTCTTTTGGAACTTGGTACCTAAGTTCTAGACATAATAACTATATTATCAAGCACACCCACCACTTTTAGAACTAAAAGATAGGAGAAGACACTGTGGATGGGACCAAGACACAGGCTGAGTTATGCAACTATAGCTAGTGAGGACTGTACCTAAAACACAGAGCTTTGACAAACTGCAGAGACCGACTGATCATCCAGATCTTGAAAGCTCTGAAACGGGGCAGGGGTCTTGTGGAGACTGGCATAGACCACCAGGAATGGGTCAGAGAAACTTGCAGAGCTTGGACAAGGACAGAAGAGTAGCAGCGCTGAATGAGGGAGAGGCCTTTCCCTTATACCTGCGTCTCTAAGGACTGTGTGAACAGGAAATACAGGAAAACAGTGCTAAGCCTTCTTGTATCTGTGAGGTTCTTTGTGATTTGGATGCTGTGTTTAAGCAGTTTGGATAAGAGCTTTTCCCTTGCGTGTCCCCCCATTATCCTTGCAGATTTGGAAATGTTATAGGATTCTGTGATCTTGGACTCCTTCATCTACTAAAAGCATAAATTTAGTGAAAACCTGAGATTCCCTTTATTTTATAGAGTTGTATGAATTAAATTAGGCTATGTAAATAATCTATAGTATAAACTGCCTTTATGAGTAATAAAGGCATTACAGATGATTATTATTGGAGGTTATATATAATCACTTAATTCTTAAATATACACACCCACAGACATACACCCACACATACATACCTACACATATGTAAGATGCTTAGAACAGTGTCACCAGGGGCTGCTGAAGCAGACATTTTGTAATTCCAAGTAAAGGTCACAATGACATGCTGACACTCCTGAATGTACCCAGGGAGTCCAGATGGTAGTAAAGGACCACAGAGAGGTGGTGGCTA